GCAACCTACACCACCGGAGATTTTGGAGCACAATGTTACACACCTCCCTTACAGGAATTGGTGTCCCATATGCGTACAATCAAGAGGCAGACAAAACAACCATCCAAAACAACACAGCAAGCTTCCAATCATACAACTCGACTTCGGCTACATTAAAGGCTTCGATGACAACAAGGTACATCCAATCCTCACAGCAATTGACATCCAATCAGGGATGATCATGGCAATACAATTGGCCGACAAGAGGATGCTCTTTGACTATGCAGTCACACAGCTACAGCACTTCCTCATTGAGTGTGGAAGAACAACACACACGATACTACAATCAGATCAGGAAGATTTCCTGACAGCACTCATTACCACAGTAGCAAGCAGGGATGGCAACATCACAACCCGGAACTCAGGAGCATACAGTTCACAGTCACAAGGAGGAGTAGAACGAGCACACAGAACACTGTTTGCACGAATCAGAACACTCAAGGCACAGATCAAGCAAAACTACAACAGAGACATTCCAATGAAACATCCACTCATGCCTTGGATCGTTCGACACAGTGCATACATCATGAACAGGTACGCTTTGCACAGCAATGGATGCACAAGCTACTTCAACAGATGGAACAGAGAACAGCATACACCGTTGTGCGAGTTTGGTGAGACAGTGCAATACATGCTACCAACAGTAAAACAATTTCCAAAACTAGAGCCAGGTTCTACCATGGGATCTGGCTTGGCAAGGACACAACTACAGGCGAATCCCTCATCGGGATCTACAACAAGATTGTCAGAGCAAGAACAATCAGAAGGCAGATAATGCCTCACAAATACGACCAGCAACTACTGGACTGTGTACACACAGGTCCACGGAAGACACCAGCATCAGCACTGCCTACACCGACTCTCACACCACCAGTAACAATGCCATCGGCAAGCAAAACAATTACATCACAGAAGGATGCAGCAACAAGCACAGCAGCAGAAAACAAGAGACAAAGCACAGCACAGTCGAGCGAACAACAGCCAAAGCAGAAGAGGACAGCAGAGCCAACATCACCTATGGCTACATCACCGGCACATCAGAAACGACCATCATTGCCAGCACCACCGCACACATCACAGACAAGAGAAAGAGATGATACAATAGCAGAAGGCAGCACCGGCAAGCAACAACGCACCACAGCAGAGAGACAAACCCTTGAGCGACCTACAACAGCAGAGCAACCAAAGAGCAAGATGAGAATCAATGCCATCAAGTTCACAACAAAGGATGGTAAACAAATGGAGACAACCTCCAATGAAGACACACAAGAGATCGAAAACGAAAGGATCCTACTAGAGCCGATCATACATGACACAGAAGACCTGGATCCACAACTTGTAGCACAAGGCATGAAGAAGGAAGTACAACAAATGAAAGAACAATCAGTCTTCACAGAGATTGATGGCAACACAATGACACCGGAACAACAAGCCAACATCATTGAATCAAGATGGGTTCTAAAACCAAAACACAATGAAGTACGAGCACGCATAGTAGCAAAAGGCTACACAGAACCCGTTACAGACCATGACCTACTCTTCGCAAGTACACCATTGTTTTGCATTCTGAGAGTGCTTCTCACAATGGCACTGGTGTGCAACTGGTCGGTCTGTACAGGAGATGTGAGTGTTGCATTTCTACATGCAGCAGCCATCACACACAATCTGGTAATGAGACCACCACACGAGTTTTACAACGAAGAGAACAGACACATAATGTGGCGGCTAAACAAAGCACGGTCTTAGATCACCACCAAAACAATGGCAAGACCACATAGCACACGTTCTCACAGTCACACTCGAATTGGTGAGATGCACAACAGAAAGCAATGTCTACAGGTCAAAGGATTGCCTGGTCTACATTATGATCTATGTAGACGATCTCCTATTTATAGGAGTACAAAGCATCACCAACACACTGTTCAGCAGAATACAAAAGGAAGTTCTGCTTAGACACACAGGCGACCTAACAGTTGGATCAACAATCCACTTCCTTGACAGAAACATCTCACACAGAGGTGATCACATCGACATCAGTTTGAACAACAACTATGTTGACATCATCCTGGAAGAGTCAGGAATCACTACATGCAACCCAGCACCATCACCAGGGGTATCACACATGAAACGTACAGCAGAAGACGAAGCACCACCTGACCAGGAACAGCACAAACGATACAGGCGGCTTGTTGGCAAGATACAATGGCTAGCATACACACGACCAGACATCAGCTATGGAGCAAAAGAGCTAGCAATATCATTACAAGCACCAACACAGTTTGACAACAAGAAGACCAAGCGCATGATCAGGTACCTTAAGGGCACAAGGTACACGCGACACAACTTGCGACCAAAGATACAAACACAGGACAAGCGAATACCACTCAACATTGACACATACACAGATGCCAATTGGGCATCATGTGAAACAACGAGAAAGAGCACAACAGGATTTGTACTGTACTTCTTTGGAGCAGCAGTACATTATGGCAGCAGAGCACAAGCCACAATAGCACTTTCATCAGCAGAATCAGAACTGTACGCAATTGGTACAGCAGCACAGGAAAGCCTCTACATCGGCAACTTCATAAAAGAAGCATTTGAGGTACGCATCAACATCAGGATACACACAGACAGCAGTGCAGCAAAATCAATATCAATGAGAGAAGGCACATCAAAGAAAGCAGACACCTCTTCATACAACAACTTGTCAAAAGCAAAATCATTTCAATGCACAAAGTGAGGTCTGAAGACAACCCATCAGACCTGCTGACAAAGTTTGTCAGCTGCGACACCCTCAACAAGCACTTGTACAACGTTGGCCTGTGAGGCCACACAACACCAGTTTCACACAGTTGCACAGTATGTTAAACAACAGTTGCACAGTTGACACACGTGTATGTTTCACAACTAAACGGCCGGCACACATGTTTTAGCTTTAGGTTAGGTACAGCCATGGACCTGCCCTGGAGATGATACAACCTTTCTGGTTTCAGGTACACAACTTTGAGTTCATCTTTGACCACATCTTTTACATCCTCGGGTACATTTTTACTGCATGAGGTTTCATACATGTTTCAGACAATGTCTTTGATACATGTCACAACCATTTTACATTTTGTGGAGACACACCCCTGTACATTGAAGGTACACAATGGCGATGTCAGGACTCACAAGGATCGCTGAGTACATCCCGGCCACAGAGGTCACAGTGGCGAGGACATGGGATGCGATGAGCCTTACGTCTTTGGGCTACACTGAGGAGAACATCACCGGGAAACAGCCCTTGCGTACATTGGATGGGATCCACATGGACACCATCCAGAACAAGACCAACATGATGTACATTGCAATGACATTTGAGGAGTTCACATCTTGGACAGAGAATGGCGAACTGAAACACATCCATGGCTGGGCTAGAAGCCCAGAGGTCGAGTACATCGTGTTGAACAGTTCCCCTTTCGAGGCTGTCACAACCCTTCTGAATTACATTTCTGTCGCGACATGCAGGACACAGCACCTCGACACATTCATTGCGGCCACGGCACAGCTGGATGCAAGGCACATTGCCGAGTGGGCATCCCGCGGCTACATCAATTTCTTCAATCGGGGCTACAAGTGCAGTACACATGCAGATTCACATGAAGAAGACATGGATGCAGACACCAGATGAGCTGTCTAAACATCAGGTTTTCAAGTACACTGGCAACAATGGCCTGCTTGGGATTTACATGAAGTTCAACTGGAACACAGGGTACATCTGGTCCCACAACGCCTGCGTGAACCTCGAGCAACTCGCTACAGATGAGGACACACGCCGCAGACATGCCACAGTGGCACAGGCATTGTCCTTGATGGGAGTTGGCAGCATCAAACATCTGCCACCTGCACATCAGGTGACATTGGTGAGGCACATCTCGATGCAAGATGCAAACAGCCTCAACACACGTGGCACGATTGAGGGACAGGCAGGGCCAGGACATCCAGGACATCCGGGCCACATTGACTACATCCTCGAGCAGCAGCATCTGTTTTACATGAACTATGCTGCGACCAAGGCACAGGTGTACAATGAGCACACTACAGGAGTGAAGCAGGGAGCCACACTGCTTACACAGTGATTGCCGATTTTTTGGCACACCGGATTTGTGGACACAAGGTGTTGCAGATACACCTTGCTGACATCAGGTCACACTTGCAGTCTGTACAGCCGCTCGACACATTAGAGGAACCGTTGTATAAATTGAAACAGTCAGTAGAGCTGCTAACAATTTTACATCACCTCGACAAGCTAGAGCACAACTGTTTGTCTTGATGTCTAGGTACATCAATCCAAGGTGGGGTGTTAATATACATCCTCACTTGTACATGCCCTTGCACATCTGTATGATCAAGGCCTTGAGCCTACACACAGTAGAGCTACAGCTTGCCACCTGGAAACAACAGTGCCGCGCTGTCACACACAGGTCTTCAGGTATTCACAACATCAATCCAACTTTAACATGCATATAAATGTATATATATACATACATATTTTTGTATATATGCAGACTCTATATGAACATATATAAATATAGAGGTACATAGGTCTGTCTTTTTGTTGGTGGTACCCCTGTTGCGGTGTGTGTTTGTTTAAAGGAAAACCAAAAAGGAAACCCACCATTTATGTATTCTTCTTTTTTGGGGGGGTCCCCGAAAAAGAGAGAAGACTAAAAGTAGTTCTGTACAATTTTGCACACATATATATATATATATATAAATATGCGCATACACACACGCGTAACCATAGTTAAATATTAAATAACTACCCTCTTGTATGTGTAATGTAATATGTATATATATATATACAACACCTTCTCTTTCTACATATGTCTACATTTTCCCCACCATCTCTGCTTAACAATGTACCTGTTCCCTCGGGTTTTCTCTGGGGCTCCCCATGCTCCCTCGCTCCGAGCCGCAGAAGGCCTTGGCCCTGGTCCCCCGGGGCCGCGGCAGCGCCGCCAGCAGCTCCGCCCCGCGGGCGTCGAAGGCGACGGAGGCGGAGGCGTCGGAAGGCCCGGCGAGGCCGGCGAGGACGAGGTCCATGGCGCGGCGGACGTTTGCAGAAGGGGGGGGGGGACACACAACTAAAATGCGGCGGAGGTGAGGATTTTAGATTCTTTGCCTTCCATCTGCTTTTAGGAAAGCCTGGGAGACTACTTGGAAAGGGCCCAAGTCTTTGCCCGTTGGTTTGAGAGCTTCCTGTCTCAGAAACTCAAATGCAGATTGTGGGCGGTCCTACTTGTGGGTCAAAAATGAAACCACCAAGCTCCATTTGCTTGCGGTTTCGCCCCCCTCGGAAAAAAGAAGAAACGATATGTCCAGCAGTGAAAGATGTGCGTTTCCCCCCTGGAAAGAATATGAGGAAACATATGGCCAGTGAAAGATGCTCTTTAAAACCAACAGGAAATTCAAAGAAATAGTCTTTAGCAAATGGAAGCCAACCAGACTTGTAGTCCTTGCAATTTACTTCACAACCCATTTTTGGGTACAATGCGTTTTGACCCACACTCTCTGTGCAAGTAGGTGACCACGGCTCCAAGTAGGGGTTGGTTGACTTACAATGGTTATCACCTAAGGGGTGCTCTAAGCCTGAAAGGTCGTCAGACCTTTGACAAATGCCTGAGTCATGAAAGCAAGGGTTTGCGTTGGAAACGGCGGCGGGGGAGCAGATGGGGAGCAGATGGTACGGCTGGTTCAGGTCTGGCTTGGAACTTGGGCCCAAGAGACTCGGTTTGCCTGGGTTTTACAAGCAAGGGCTGGCTTTTGTCAGGTGGTTCATGATTTGGTGACTGGTCTGTGGCGCCGGGGAACTGTCCTGAAAAGCCAGCAATCCCAGCGCGAGGCGAGGGCACCAAAAGGCCTAGCCCATCCAACACCCAGATCCGCGCGGTCTTGGCGCCACCAGCGAATCAAGACAAAACAACGTGTTCACATACGCCACACCAAAACCGGATGCAACTTCAAACAAGTCAGACCCTTCATTCATGACCCCGTAGAACTCTCGTGGTTCACCTGGTGCTCATGGCAGGCACGTTTTTTTCCGCACCTGTCCGTCCGAAACATGGTGCTGGTAGACCAAAAATCCATCGATCACTGAACCCAGAAAGGACACGTGGCCATGGCTCAAAATCCAAATCGCACCCCCAGTGAACATCCCAATCCCCAAAAACAGGTTCTAAAATGGGTGGTGAATTCACCGACCAACCAAATGGGGATCCCAAAACAGTTTTGACCACCACAGCCCCACGTGGCTCGCTCCAAAAAAAGCCGCCACGCCCCACGCCTCCAGCGTCTCCAGGAACTTCGTGGTGGTGGTGCTCACCACCATCTGCGCCTCGTGGCTTTGCCACTGTCAGGAGCCCTGACCACAACCGGGCTCCGGCTACTGGTGGAGCTTCTAGTGGGTTAAATACGGAAACGCAACCACCAAACGCTCAAAAGCCAAAAGCACAAAAACTCAGGGACCGGATGGCTGGGAACCCACAAAACCGGAGCATCCCTACGTTCGAGGCGCGAGCCACACATGGGCCTTGGGAACCTTGAGGGACTGGCACAAAACCCATGGGAACCTCTGTCCAACGAAGTGGCAGTGGAGTTTTTAGTGGTCTGCGATCTTGTTGCCTGCAGAAAAATAGACCATAGCACATTGAATTCTCGGAGAGCAAGAGAATTCAGATCTGATGAAACTGTGTCGGCGTCATGAAGTTAACAATGCGGTTGCTGTGGTGAACAGGAGTCGAAGCAAACATGCGGAGGGGAGTGACTGGAGATTCTCCGGAGCTTCGTTAAAATCTCATGCGGAAGGCATGTGGCCCCGGATCCGGATTGTCTGCATCGACAAAGACAGTGAGGACAAAGAGGTCTCCTGTTCAATGCAGTCCTTCGAAGCCGCAATCATCCATTCAGTTGAGCTTCAAGCCATAACATCAGAACCCGCTCAGGTAGGATGCATACTGAAACCGAGGGATAGCCCTTGAGCAGGTCTCTGTACGGATGATTCCCTGTGGCACTGAAGAAATGCCCAGGCAAGGACTCCTCATTCTCCCCTACACCCGCGCCCTGTCTTGACCGAGCCCTGTGCCACAGCATCGTTGAAGAGAAATTGTACCATGCGAATAAACCTCAGCAAGCCGGAGGCGTGAACTCCCTTTCCCACGATCAGAAAGCGTGTTTGATTGTGGCTCAAGTAAGGCTTGGATCTGAGATCTCGGCTTTGTGAGCTTCCGGCACTGCGTGCGGGTGGTAGCCCGCTCAGTGTAGGACATGCCGCCGTCCTGGGCCATCAGCGGCCACCAAGGGGACTCGGTCACTCGGTGTCCTTTTTTGGGGGGGGCTCGGTGCTGGCCTTTTCTTGCTGGTTCTCAGCAGGGAATGAGGACATGACCCAAGCTGAACCATCCCTGATGGTGGTTTCCTTTACCGCTCATTCCTATCCACTACTAAGAACCAGGCGGCACAAGTCCGGGTTGTGAGAAACATGCACTTTCTTCCGCTCCGGATCCGTTTGGATGCAAAGAGCCGCAGATCGTTTTCCTTCGAGAAGGCCTTCCACCCAGCCCGCCCTTCAGCTTTGTACAGCCCAGGAACAGAGCAGCCATGTCATCACGGGTTGGAATTGATAGAAGGTTCACTGGATCTCAGATTTTACCCCCCAATCAACAGCTGAGGCCCTGTAATACTTCACCTATGAGTAACCCCCCGCCTGATCTTCGTCGCCCTCCTGGCGCGGGAAGCTGACCAAAGAGAGGAAGGGATTCACGGGGCCTCCTTTCAACCTGCATATGAGCCTGCGTAAGCACCCCGATTGGGCTGTCTTCCCATATGCACTTTAGTCGATTGGTGTGGCGAAAAAACTTTGCTCTGCGCAGTGTGCTGCAGGTTCGCCACAGCAGAACACTTTCTGATAACCGATAACTGGTATCTGTTCGTTGCAGGCTCTCTGCCAAGGATCCCTGAGGCCGGACTTTTCTTTGAACGTCATGAGAAGCCAAACCTGCATCTTCTCAAGGGCATCAACCGTGTTCTATCCTGCATCAGCCTTGGAATCAAGGGCCACTTGTTGCGTGGAAAGTGACTTTGGAAAGAAGGCCAGCAGATGCTGTCTCCGGCATTCAGGACCTGTTTGCTAGCGATTTCTATGTGTCTCTTGGTTGTGGTTCATTCCTTCGGCTCATTCAGCCTTGATTATGCTCATGATTCAGGTGTTCACTCAGCTGAAATGTTTTTGCAAGGTGCGGCAACCGGCGATAGCAATTGCTGGAGTCACCAGGCTTGGCGACGTGACACTTGGACACGCACACCTCTTGGCCTTCCTGGCCTACAGATCGTTTCTCCCTATTTTGTTTCGGCGTGAAAAAATCCCCAGACCTTGCGTTTGCCCAACCCACCCTTTGAACCTGAGACTCCCCAAATCGCCCCGCGGCGCCTCTTCCTTCTCCTCTCCGGCACGTTGGCCGAAGCCATTCTTCTTGAGGAAGTCCTGAAGGCTGTTCGTGCAGGACCTCGGCCAACATCCGCGGAAGCCGGATCCCTCGCTTCGCTGGCGCAAGAGAGGAAGGCGACACCCGCGGGTTTCGTGGAGTTCACGTGGCACAAGTCGCTAGACAAGGTCAATGTGCATGGAGCGAATGATCAGGGCGCAAGTCTGCTACGGACTTGCAGATCATACAGCAACGGACACGTTTATTGATATCATGGATATCTGGCAACGCTGACAACTCTTCACTTCAGTGCAATCCAACCGCGGGTCATTCCATCTCTGGCTTGTTTGTCAACCTCAAAAAGTTGGGAGTCTTCCCATGGAATCTCACTCTATTTCAGCAAGGTTGAAGGCTGTTTGCTGTTAAGAATTCTACCAGCATAGACCCCATATAGCGAAAAACGAGCCGATGATTGCACACCAGCACCTCTCATAGCACCCCCCCCACCCCCAAGAGCGCCCCAAACAGCACCCCCAGAGCACCAGTCACCAGCACCTCAAAAAGCACCAGCACGCCAAACTGCTCGCCCCTTAGCACCCAGCCGTCAATCTCGCAAATCACTCCGTTAGAACCCCTATAGCTTTCAGCTATCTGGGGAAAATAGCTGTTAGGGTTTAGAACAATAATAATGATCTGTAATTGACAAGTAGACATGTGCGAAACAGCGTTCATTTGCAACAGGTCGGGAAAACCAGGAGTGATACAGTGAGCTCCTGGTTGATTACTGGGTGCCCTTGACTTCTTTGCAGAAAACACACGCGCACACACACACACACACACCTCAATCCAGCAGGTGTACTAATCCCTCGTCGACCTCAACGTCTTGAGCCGCTTCTTGAGCCCGCGACTGGTGAAGCTCATCTTTGATCCTCGTCCACACCTCGGAGAGCCGCTTGGCTGGGCGTGTTGGAGCCAGCCACACCCAAGATTCCTTTGACTTGCCTATGGGCCAAGCTGCTTAAACATGATAAAACAAAAGTGAAGTCAACATCCTGCTCTTGGTGTCGCAGAGGCCAAGGTCTGGCTGTTCAAACAAATTACCCGACCCTGGGCTTGTCCCAAGGCGTTGCCCAGGAGAGACTCAGTTGCTGCTCAGGTGCTCCAACATCTGCACAAAACATCCATATCACAGGCTGCGATGTCATGGTCCAAGGTTCATGAATCTAAGCTGTCCTCAGATCCCCTGACTTGGTGGCAAACCCGAGTTGAACAGAATGGCTGGGCACCACCAAGGAATAGGTCATCCATCGCCCGACAGCGAAGCATGAGTTCCTATTCAGATCCATGGCCGTGTCAAGGCCGCTATGTTTTACCATTTTCACAGTCACCCCCACGGGTCAAAGGGAAATGAGCCACTGACTTTCATGAACCTCAGAGCACACACCCATCCCTGAGCCCCCCCCCAAACCACCCCCCTCCCAACCCCCCCCCCCCAAAGACAACAAACTGAGGGGGCCGTTGGCCGGACCTTGTTTTTTATCCGAAAATCCGAGTCTTGGGTCCTGGCCTCTTGGAGGTCGGCGGCCATCTGCTTGCGCTTCTGCCTCTGCTGCTCTTCGAACT